GGGCAAACACCAGGCAGATGGCATTTAATGTAGACAAGTGCAAAATACTAGGTACCAGAAAGATAAATATAAACTATATATTCAATAGAGGAAACACTGAGCTTGAATGGGCTAATTATGAAAAAAGAAAAGTATTTATGTTGATGCATAATTTTCATCCAGATAGTATGCAATAGAGCTACAATAGGGAAGGCAAACAAATTTAAGAATATATAGGTAGATGTTGTGACCGGCCTCACTTTAAATAAGTGACTAATGAGAAACATATCTGAGCACATCAAAACTCACAATGCCACAAAGAAGGCAGCATAATGAGTCTTTACTGTAGTAGTTCTCCTCTAGATACATACAAGACTTGCTCAATAACACCCATGTAAGAATGTGTAAACTCTACCCTAACCAATTATCTACTGCCTAATTCACCTCAAGTGTGACTATATACAAGTATTAGAGGCCAATAAAGGCTCTCTGAACGGGCCTGTTGAAGATGTGTACAATTGAAATAAAAGCACGTTCTTAAAATTATACAATGTACTAGTACGACCTCATTTAGAATACCTTGAGCATTTTTGGGCACCATGTTACAAAAAAGATCTTGCTGCTCTGCAATCAGAGAAGAGCAAACAGATTCTCAACTTACAGAATTCTATTTAACAACAGTTCCATCACTGTGGGTAAGAATCTATACTGCTGTTCATGACACTGTGTTTAAAGTCACAATCCACATTACATTTTATACAAATATGTCATCAATAAGAATCAAATTCGAACAATTTCAACATTATTTCAAACAAGAAACATATTTTCCTTTGGTCACTTCTCTTACTGAAATTACAGTTTAAACAGATTCTGTATCTTATAACGTAGAAGAGGAACACTAAACATTTTTGCACAAAAGTGACACAGGAAGTCACAAAAACCATGTCCTCAGTTATAGAAATGCCCTATTGTATCAGACCTTTAAAAATTATTCATTTGCATTATTTTGCATGCATAACAGCCATCTAACAATATTGTTCTAATGGAAGTCATTTCAGTGTGGCAGGGAACCCAAACAAGACCATTAACAAGAACTGTAATAATGATGGAGTCTCTTATTCAATACATTTCTCTACATGTTTTGGAAGAGAAAAATACCTATTTTTAGGAAATATTGTTTAGAACTAATTTCTTTTTATTGCTATAATATGGTCAAAGTCCTTCCTTTATACTGAAAAATACAAATCATTTTGATGGATAAAGGGTTATTACTGCTATTTATAATTTGTATATGTTTGAATTTTTCATTATCACATTTTTCCATCTGGAAATATTTACAATAAACTGCTTTGGGAAGCTGAATGAAACAATAAAACACAAAACACAGTTTCTTGCCACAGCTTGGCTGCTGTGCCAATTGGTCTAAATACCAATACCACCGTATACACAGTAGCCATTTAATATTCCAAGGTCTAAAACATGAATATGGTACAGTATATTAATCTTTGGGGCTCAATTAGTCTCGAGCAGGATGTAAACACAAGACACATATACAGTACAATGTTTTACTTATTTGAACAGCTGCTATTCCTCATTGACACAAGGCTAAATAACTCGTATCTCAAAGTTTTTTAGTGGGCACAAATCTGTATGTTAATGCTCCCTGTGCACCGCAATGTGAGGGAGGCAAAGGAGAGTCAAGCAGTGCTACTCAAAAGCCAGATTGACATTGCAGTGAAGTGAATCAGGTGAAGAAACCACCGACCACTGTGACTAGTGGCCTGCTTGTCCTTGATTCTAAGCAGGCATTGTAGGAGGTGCACTAGTATAGAGAAGATATAGTGTTGACTGGAGGCCATCTGAAGACCAGGCCATCAAGTCCTAGGGGGTTCTCCTCATGCAGGTAAAGCAGGCAGTGGGTCAGAATGTTACATTCCACATCCCTCCTCTAGAGGGCGCTCCTACCCCTTTCTGTTATGATTAGTTTTATTATTTCCTGGTGCATCTCGTTTGGATTTTGGTTAAAAGCCAAGCATCTCTGCAGTTCCTGGCTCAGTATTGGAAGATGGACGCGGGTAGCCAGAGGGCAGGACTTATTCCCCGGCGTCCTGACCATCTGGGTCCGGGGCTCAGAGCGCCTGGTCCCGTTATGCTTTAAGTTCCTGTTCCGGTTCTGACCCCGATCCAGTTTTTAACTATTTTGTCTTGGATAGATCTCCCAGCCTTTGGACTACGGACTGCACCCAACTTCCCGTTTTGGACTTCCCTGGACTTCATTGCTTCGGCATTTCCCCCCCGTGCACCGGATCACTACAGTCACCGCCCCCTGTCTGTCAACCTGTTCTAATCCTGCTGTACCTTCCTCAGTTGTCCTTCTCCAGTCATTTCCGGATTATACCGTCTGCATAGGGTCTTTAACTACGCACTTCACGGGAGTCAGAACTGGCTCTCGTTACATCAGCAGGCTCGTGGCAAACAAGATGGCCACAGATATTCTGCAAATCATGTTAACCACCTCTCGATGGACGCGCCACTTGGGCTAGTTTGACCTTCCTTGGAGACGAGCTCCACTGTTGTATTCTTGTCCCTCTCAGCAGACTGCTCTCTAAATAGAGAAGGGAGAGTCTGCTCTTCTCTCAAACATGCTACAGCCGCAGAGCTGTAGCTCCCTGCAGAAGGTTTCTACCAATCGGTCTAGATAGGAACAGAGGTTCCAAATCCAAGAAAAAATGTATTGTTAAGGCAACAGTAGGCAATAATGGTGACAAACTACCCTGCTCACAAGTATAAAAGGGATGGCTGAGTAACATGATAGTAGAGGAGAAAACCATATCACTTCCCCATGAAATCTGCCTAAGAGAAAGCTAAAGCCCCATTCTAATCACTGGTGGTGATCTGTTTTTAAATTCAATAAAGATAAAAGCAGAAAAAAAGTGCCAAGTTCCCACACATATCAATTTCTAGTTTAGTCTAAATCTGTACTAAACAACAATCAAGCAATCAAGAAACTGACAATGAAACTGACACTTGTAACTTCTCCTTTCAGTGTGTTCACGGTTTCCTTAAAAAAACTGTGCATTTTGCACAGAATTTGAACCACAATAGAGAAAACTAGAACTCGAATTCAAGATCATTATGTTTTGCCTTTGTTTTTGCCTTTCTGTCTTTTTTTTCCAGATTCTTCTGTGCTTGTATTATCAACACATCAACAGACTGAAACATTAATTCCACATCAGACCTTGCTTGGCCCTGAGACAGAACCAGATAGCTTGTCAGGTGGGAACTATCCTCTTGGGAACTTGAATAGAGGTTGTTACTATGCTCCAGCTTAGCAGGGGTTACTATGGCATTCTCAAAGAAATCAATACCAAGAGAAATAAATATAATAATAATATTTGCTTAAACTTATATAGTGCTTTTCTGGACACTCCACTCAAAGTACCACCACCAATGTGTAGCATCCACCTGGATGATGAGATGGCAGCCATTGTGCGCCAGAGTGCTCACCCCACATCAGCTATTAGTGGGGAGGAGAACAGAGTGATGAAACCAATTTATAGATGGGGATTATTAGGAGGCCATGATTGGTAAGGGCCAATGGGAAATTTGGCCAGAACACCAGGGTTACACCCCTACTCTTTTCGAGAAACGCCCTGGGATTTTTAATGACCACAGAGAGTCAGGACTTCGGTTTTATGTCTCATCCGAAGGACGGCGCCTGTTTACAGTATAGTGTATATTTTATGTGACTCCATACAGTAAGTATGCAGCTTAGACCCCTATACAATATTGCCGTACTCTTATTGTTGTTGTTAAACATATTTATTACAGAATAAATTGAATTTATTCAGAAAATGGAATTTCTCAGGCAAAAGCAAAAAGTGAAAAACATATTTTAAAACTAATATGAACAACTATGAATATATTATATAACTGACACAAATCTGTTGAAGATACGTCCTACAATGTTTAATTGAATACTTTTTGCATTTAACTATTACACATAAGAATAAGAATAAGTCCAGAGTCCAGTGCATTTATGACATACATAATGTATTTCAGATTGTTAAGATCAATTATGAGAGGACTACATACCTTGATTATTCAGTTAGTTAGGTTAACCAGGGAAATATGAGAACTCTAAATGATTAATCAAGAGCTGGGAGATCTTCCTAAAAGGTCTGAGACCCATGTTGTGCATTAAAATGCATTGTTGCGTTTCTAGCCACAGCACAAGTCAAATGCAAATTTTAGGGCAGATCCCAACTGACAGTATGTGCAGTAGGTACATGACTTAAAAGAAATTCTGGTAAATAATGCAAATTAGACTAATAAAAAGGGACCAAGTGAGCCTTTGCACGTACAGTATTAATTAAATGCAAACAAGCTGTTTCACAACCACAGTGTGATTAACAAATGAAACAGGAAATTATGTATAAACCAAAACTATATATTTTTATCAGTTACTCATGCTTCTTTATTGCATGTTCTGTGTAAAAATAAAGGCTGATTATTTGTTATAACAAAGAAATAGAAAATTTCTGTGTAAGAGAATTCATTAAAACAACTTTTTTTTTAAAATTTAGTTCTGAAAGAGAACTAAATTAATTCCTTTGTATTTCCTACAGTTCCTAAAGTGCTTTGTAGAAGCTGGAATCACCAGCTGTCCGTAGTGGCAGAGCAGAAAGTTAACATCATGACATCTTGTTTCGTAATTAGCAGTATTACAGAGAACCACATGTGTTCTAATAGTACAGTATTATTGTTTTGTTAATGGCAGAGATTAGACAGCTTTTCTGTTGTGAACAGCATTTGGACACACTTCAGAGTATAATTACAGTTTTGTAAGGCAAGTATATACACAAAGACTGCAAACACAGTAACAATACGTTATGTAATGTAGCTGTGTACTGTATAATGTGTACTGCTAAGCAATCACATCTCTCCAGGTGTAAATGCCCCTGATCTCACCTCAACCTAGTTATACATTTTTGTACCTTATAATTTGTCATGATACTCACCAGGAATACAAAATAGTTCCAACTACCGAGGTAAGCTTGCTGTTTTCTTGTTTTTGCTTTGCAAGACCAAAGTCAGCTAAAAAAGAAAATTGTTTATGTCAATGAAATTCACATCACAGTTTTGATCAAGCTTCCATTTCAGCTAAATAATACTATCTGTATATATCTCTGATTAAGCTCAGGAATAAAATATTTTTTACATTGTTGATAATAAAAGCTATGATAAAATATACATCAATTTATTAAGTTACTAGACTATTTTCTATTAACTTTTATGGCCATTAAAAGCAGGAGTCTAATTCTTGGATGGCCTAGCATCTTCAGATATATGTTCCACTTGAGCTTCCATTTCCATAGTTGGTTGAATTATTTCATGAGCTGCATAATTGGAATACCTTTAACTATGGTCTGCCTGAAATGTAAAGCTTTTTGTGTCGTGAACAGCACTCGAACACACTTCAGAGTATAATAATGAATGATAAGTACATTCAAATAGGCTGCCAACAATCAGATATAATGGAAAATGGCTTATGAGTATATATACAGTACATGTACATATCCATCCATTTTCTACCCATTTTACCTAAACAGTGTCATGGGGCAGTATGAGCGCAAGGCAGGATACACCCTGGATGGGATGCCAGTCCATCACTGGGCACAAACAGACATAACACAAACTCACACCAGGGCTAATTTTCACAGAATCCAATTTACCTATCATTATTTTTTGGACTTTGGAGGGAGAAAACCAGAGGTGCTGGAGAACATTCACATGAGCACAGAGAGAACATACAAACTCCACACAGACAGCACCCAGGAATTGAACTCAAGAACCCCAGTACTGCCAGGCAGTACTACTAACCACTTTGCCACCATGCCACACATGTCTAACTATCCACTAAAAAAATAGTCAGGTTAATTATTTATTTGACTACTTAGATTGAAACAAGAATCAAGAGATACTGGACTCTGATCTCCTTAGTGGAAAGGTTGTGTTTAATATATCTCTCTATCTCTACTCTTTAGACAACAATGCCACCTAGTGTATCAATTGATGGTAATCAGTTTGCTTCCTACTGTACTCTTGCAGGTGGCAGTTGTTTCCTCAGTAAAATGCAATTCAGTTATTCAAAACGTATCCACTAGCGTAAAGTGTTGTGTTTTTTGTTTACAGTGTCACCGATATTGGCTGCATAGCGCCTGACACCAGAGCCAAGATAATATCAACTAAAACCCCAAAACAACTAAAATAAAATTGCAACCACACAACTAGAATTAAACAACAAATGAATGTGAGCTAAACAGGGAAAAAAATTCTGTATAATGAAATCCGACACTTACTTATAGTTACTCTATCCTTTTCTCCCAGCATTATATTGTTCGGTGTAAGGTCTCTGTGTACAATCCTTTTCTCTTTATGCAAGTAACGAAGTGCTAAGCATATCTGAAAACAGAGAAGGGATTGCGAAATTAAGGCAAGAGTATTAAATGACATCACAGTAAAATACTCAATTATTTAGAAACGTGTTGTGTCGGGCTCCTTATTGTTTCCACTTTGAAATGTTATTTATAGTATGAGCCTAAATATTCTAGTATGGATGTGTAGAAAGAAACCAAATTAGTGCTCTATAAACTGTAGCTTTTACAACTTGGATACTTAACTTATTTCTTCTAAGTCGTTTTAAAAACTGTCTTTACTTGATTCAATTTGTGAGCCTGTCAAATAACTAGACCAGAAACCCTGACTGAAAATCTCACAAAACACAGGAATTTGGCAAGAAACTAATTCAATGAAAGGGAAGTCCATATGGTCGAAATGCCAGTAATCTGCCAGTAATCAGTACAGTAATCTGGAGATACAGGCCTTTACCTGAATAAAGATGTTCCATATCCGCTCTTCTGTAAATTGCTTTTGTTTTTCCTTGAGAGAATTAAAGTGCTCCCCAAGGGGAGTTCCTTCTATTAGTTCCATTACGATATACAGCCTGTCATCTATGAATGAGAAAAAGGCTAGGGGGTCAGAACCTCACTGTAATACCTTTGATTTTACTGACCACAAAATGTATATCCATGTTTGGATACATTATAAACTTACTTTCTAAGAAGGTCTTGCAATACCTTACAATGTTAACATGGTTCATCTAGAAAGAAAAGCAGAAAGATTACATTTTCAAAAACATCACCAAATAGAAAGTTATAACATACCATAGAAGCTCATTTCTAAATCTTTGGTAAATATTAGGATTTATCACCCAACAGATCTTAAGGTTATTGTTTTTAGGTACTGAACTACTAATATACTCTGCTATACTACTATACTATATAGTCTACTATACTGCTAATATACTAATATACTTTGCAAATGTGGTAGCACAATGACACTTTATAATGTTTATAAATGACTACAGAGAGAGATGTTAACTCTGTGTTGTTTTGACAGACTATCTGTACTTCTCAATAACGGTGCTGTACAAGATTCCCTGAGAATGCTGTGCCATGCTCTTGGGAGAGATATCCTGTGCTTCATCCAGATTTGAATGGATGGATCATAAGAACATAAGAAAGTCTGCAAATGACAGGAGGCCATTTAACCAATCTGGGTCATTGAGTTGATAGAAGCTAATCAAACTAAGGATCTCATTTAACAACAGGGCTAGGCTGATTGTTTTAGACTCTTATAGCCTTAGCCCTGACTGGTATGCAGCAAGGCTACATTTGCCAAAAGTATTTATGTTGATCTATCCTATAGATATTTAACTGTTTTGTCTTAAAAACTGTTTTGTTTATGTTACTTGCAGACATGAATGTAATTATTTGAAACGTACCTGTTCCTTTATGATGGTTAGCTCTGATACAATGTTCTCCACACTGCTGTCCCGGTCCTTCTTGTCTTTGCCAAAGGCAGGATTGTGAAGATTAACTTCCTTCAGTGCAAACAGATTCTGCCCGCTCTGTTTCCTCACCTGTCACAATGACAAAATTCTGGATTGTTCCAACAGCTGGACAGTCTACATGCTTGTACTATACTGTATGTATCTATGTATGAACACAATACAAATAACACACCATTTCCTGGAAGGCTGGTCGGGGGGCTGTTTTGCTTGTTCAGTTTATAATTTGCAAATAATCTATGTGAATGTCTGAAATATCCTCTTTAGATACTTAAACACTACAGGCATGTCTTCAAAAAGGAATAAGCAATTCTACTAAGAATAAGAAATAAACTGTTATAATCCAAATTTTTGGACTGCACTGTCATATTCTTCAAATGCATGCTCTTATGAACTTAGGTATCTATTGTTGAGTATACATAGGGTACAGGTAAACTTAATTTGCATTTTTCAAATCTGAATTTCAGTGTGTCTTCCCCATCTAGAATTAGCAGTTTAGACATTAAATGATAAACCTGCTTCAAAGCAGAATAACAAATCTACCAGTTCCCTGAAGGCATTTATTGTTAGAAGTGTCGGTTAAATGCACAAAGAAGTACAACCACTAAGGCATTAATTTATTCAATGGATCTGTTTTCACCACCTGAGAATTTCACATTCACAGATTATCCACTCTCAGTGGACACTGTTATGCCAGTGCCTAAAATGTAAGATTTGCACTTTAAACTTCAGCATTACACCATCGGTGTCATATTCATCCACTAGAAGAAGTCAGAGCACGAGCAACACAGGTCCTCTATATCAGCTTACGCCTGGCACAGGCTCATAAACTATGAAATCTCCAGACTGAAGTTTCAGCTATACCAGCTACAATACTAACTATACTTCAGGCTGAAAACCAGCTGTGGTGCCACAACACCAGCCACATTATCATAGCACAGGCCTCTGACAAGTACCAGCAACTTTCTCACAGTGCAGGCTGCTGGCTCATTGTCACAGTTACAGGGATGAAGTTACCTACACACCTCAGGTTGAAGATACTGCCATGGTCTCTGCTAATACCTTGGCCATTGTGCTAGTCACCCTATCACAGCATAGGCTACTGGCACACCAGTACAGTACAGGGCTGGAGGCTCCAGCCACTCATCTACCTTATGAGGCTACAGGCTGAAGATCAGCTGTACTGCTACCTTGCCAAGATGTGATTTTGACGGGGGTCTCGCCTACAACCTGTACTCCTGTTGTAAGCCACCCCAGGAGGCATCACAATATTAATAATACTAGTAATGTGATATGTTATGTCACAACTTAAAGACAGTGAAATCTTATAAAGTGTATTAAGTAGCCAATAAAAAAGTACCACAATATCAACAGCCACTTTTGCTTTTATAACAGCTGAAAAGTTCATTCTTGGAGCAAAAAAAGATTGAGAAATAAAGGTCATTTTTTGCAGACAACTGTGTCTTTAGAAAGGTGAAATGTTAAATTTCTGTATGCACCAATACTAGAGATCTCAGGTTTACTGAGAGCCAGCAATAGTACTTTGGGTGTGGTGTGACTGACTGGAGAAATGGAAAGGCTAAAAACGGCCTAAAATTGCAATACCACAGATTCAATAAACTGTGTGCTTTTTCAGCAATATGTGATCTAATAAGTGGCCATGTCTCAATCAACGGATTATCAAGACGTCTGTACTTACATAAATGCATCAATTCCTTTTCATTTGCATACATTTACAGTACAGTACATGTTCTCACAGAATCTGTCCAGACAAATTGGACACTGAAGTCTGTAATTAGTGATCATCTGGGGATATATAAATCCAGTTCTAACTTTATTAGAAGGTTTTAGTGCTCAAGCAACGCACATACTGTACACATTTAGAAACATCAATGATTGCCAGATAACACAAGCTATAAAGTCAGCATGTGTAATGAAATGGCATGTGCCATTTTAAAAATATTCACTCTACATACTGTATTTTTTTCTATTGCATTTATACTGTATATGCAAGTATGTACAAATATGTGTGTTGTGAAATTACTTTATGATGCGTGAACACTTTTTTAACTTCATATTTAATTCTGAACATGAAAGCTCAAACTAAAGTCTTCTATGGGTAAGAAAAATGTCAGTAAAAACTAAAGAGAAAACAAATGCATTGGTTGTAAAAAAATTCAAACCCATGAACTTAATATCTGGCAGAAGCAGTTTTGGCACCAACTAAAGCCACAAGTTTTTCTGGGTAAGTCTCTACAAACTTTGTACCAAGTCGTGCCTGTGTTTTCTCGAGCTCTCACGAGTTTCTTGGGGATCATAAATAGACAACACTTTTCAAGTCTTTCCACATATTCTCAATAGCTCCAGTTTTCCTTAGTTGCTTAGTCCTTAGCAGAGTGAAACAAACAAAATTGTAATTGTCTGAACCTTGCTCCATCCATTTTTCCTTGAATCCTAACACGCTTCGTAGGCCCAGCTGGGGAGAAGCATCCCCAAAGATGTGGTCACCACCATGCCAGATTATAGGAAATTATGAGAACAACTATTATTGCATACAGACAGAGGCCACTTAATTAATGGTGGGTTCACTGAGATAATTTCGTGCAATGTAACTACAGTAATTTGGGTGCAGCCCAGCAAAGAGCTTGATTACTTCATATTTGCTACTTGAAAATGTCATGACAACAAGCTTCAAAGAAATAAAACTTTGAAACCACATTCAGAAATCTCTCTTAGAGTTTTATTAGCAACCTCTGGCTGTGCAGTAACTGAATTCGACATAACCTATCAAAATTAACAGAAATCTAGTCGACTCTTCAAGACACAGATACAAGTGTTTTCTTGTGACACCGCATCTCAGCCAAGGACAGAGTGACACACCCACCTTATAAACACTGCCAAATGCTCCACTTCCAAGATGATCAAGAATTGCATAGCCATTGATGATCTTTGAAGGAGCCTTATTCTGGTTGACAGTTTCAATACTTTCTTTGATGTTACTTAATTCTTCATCCTATGAACATAAATAACAACAACTGCAGTAATAATCAGCATATGATTCATTATTCTCCTCAACCTAAAAATAGTAAAATAACCTCAAATCCAGACTGCAGAGGGGGAATGTAAAGCAAATTTGTAATTTTTGAAAAATAAATTAAAAACATAGGTTAAGCTATAAAAAACTGCATTGTGTAAAACACATTTCTTTATCAAAGAAAAATATCTCAATTATAATTACAATATTTATGCTATAATTATTCTAAACTACTAATCTAAAGTGTGTTTTATTTACTTAAAACGCAGACATGCTTTTTAAGCCAGTAGGTTTCAAGCAAAATATTAACTATGCAGATAAACCTCACTTAATCAGAGGACACTACAACATTGTATAATGTAAGTAGTGCAATACATATTTTAATCTCCACTGCAAAAAACAAAGACATGCTTGATTTAATTGTTACGAAACACATAACAAACCCCACTTTAACTAAATCAGACACTTACTGAAAGAGCACAGATTTTTGCCAGCAGTTTTTCATAGGCAGTGATGTCGCGAACATAATGTCCAATGTCAATGAACATCTCGAATATTTCTGTAGAAAAGAGTCTAAAAATTGCAAAGCATTTCTGTAACTTGAGGAACTCCTGCTGCTGTATTTTACTTAATACAAAACACCGACAGATCGGCTCAATTACGTTATACTTTGATACCTTTTGAAGAGATGGCGATTTCGTTCCATACTAAAGAGAAAGCGCAAAGCCCTGAAGGCATAGCACTGTGAGAGAAGAAAAGAATCCTGTCATCCATTTTACTCTATACATGACTACATACACAATAAAGTTACTTGTTAAAACATGCCTTTGATAAGTTACATTAGCAAAAGTTAGATACAGTATTACTCAACAGTCTGTGCATGATGTAGACAAAGAACTGAAGACAAGGTCTAATTACTATAAAAGGATTAAATATGTATTCCGTGTAAAATGTACCAAGATATTAATCTTCCTTGTCATGGACCTTTATAGTACTAAATCTTGGAAGCTTAAAGAAGATTTAGTGTTTATATTATCTGGAGAACAGAAATATTATTAATATTGATCTGACTTATGGTTGAGATACCTGAAGCAATTCTGTTTTTGGTCCTGTTCTTTCTTTATGTGGCAGAATTAGTTTCCCAATTATGTAGACCCCATTTTCCTAGAAAAGCAGAGAATAAAGACTAAATATTATAAATTAGTTCATCGGTGCTAGTGTATTGATACCATATAAACAGGAAGTCTGTAATAAAGGTTGCATATCATAGAAACTGTAATATTTAATGTGCTTTTGCTAGATTTGTAACAATATTTCCAAGAAGCATTTGGGTTTTCTATGATTTCTTTCACTCGCTCATTCTAAGAATGTCTTGTGGAGAGCCATCAGACTCTACAAAGATTATTGTGAGATTATTTTCCGTAACTGTGAAGGGTCATGACGGATGTTCCAGCAGAATGTGGACCTATTGTAATGGAACGCTTACGGCCGACAAGCAGTGTGTGTAAGAGCCGGCGTACCAGAGCGGGTGACGTCACCACCCTTCCCTGTGATAGCAGGACCACAGCTACTGGGCTGTGGAGAGATCTCTCTTTAGCTCACGGGGCTAGGTCGCTGCAGAGAGACGCGGAAGTCCCGGGTTCGAGCCACCAGTCGGGATGGGGCCGACCAGATGCGGCAAGGGCGCCCGCCTGAGCCCCCGTTGCGTTACAGTAACTTATTTTCACAGCAGTTTATTTGAATAAAAGACTGCATATGTTACATGTGAATCCATTTAAATATACATTCTATTTCTGTTAATATTAAATATATTTTAGAAATGAGCAATGTTTCCTCACTTTAGGTATTTAAAAGAGGCAAGTAGGTGATTCCCCTAAGTGAAAACATCCATCCATTTTCTAACAGCTTTATTCAATACAGAGTCACTGGGGATCGGAGTCCATCCCAACAAGGAACGGATACAAGGTACGATACAATCTGGACAGGACATGAATCCAGCACAGGTCACATCAAAATAAATTTGATATTGGAATTCTCCTTGAAAAGGAAAAAATGGCTTGATCTTAATGGAGTAAACCTTGCTTGCTAGACCTGGTGCACAATCTTAAAAGCACACCATATACAGTTAATAATAAAAGTGTAGTAATGGTTTTGTTGCATTGAATTCCTACCTGAACTACTTGATGGGCATTAGTGTCATCCAGTACGAGCTCTGTCAGTGCTGCACAGCAGGCTGGAAAAGAGAGTGAAGCATCAGGTGGGAGCATTTTTATTTAATGACTGGCAAAATAAGAGAGCGGTTCATGGGATGTAGGAAATCTAACCAGACAGTACACGAGTATTATACAGCAAATGGAACAGCTAGTTAATTTCTTACAGCTTTACTCAGATGCAAAGGCAGCCACAGAAACTAAACTAGAAGGCAGTGGAAGCCTGTGTAAATTGTCCAACATTTTCAAGCTTGCATTTACACTTTTCAAACAACATTCTTTCTGTTTATTTCCTTACATTCATTTTTAGATAGTGAAGACAGCATGGTGAATCAAAACTAGACCTTTCTATGAATTTGTGTGGATTGGATAATTCCATACTGGGCACCTGGCTCACCTGCCTGTAGTGACAGTGTGTTTTCCAGGATTTCGTGAGGACTTAGCTCTTCTGATATATGCTGTTGCTGGATCCTTCTAGCTGCATTGGCACTGGATAAACTCCCAATAGAGGAACGGTCAGACACATATTCTCTACCACTGCAGGGAAGAAACACACAAAGGTTATTTATCTCCATGTTTTTATACATGGCAATCATTGGCAATGGTTATTATTATTATTATTATTATTATTATTATTATTATTATAATTGCTTACACTTATATAGGACTTTTCTAGACACTCCACTTTTTACAGGTAATGGGGATTCTCCTTAACCACCACCAATGTGCAGCCCCCAACTTGATGATGTGACGGCAGCCATAGTGCGCCAGAACACTCACCACACATCAGCTATCAAGGGGGAGAACAGAGTGATGAAGCCAATTCATAGATGGGGATTATTATAAGGCCATGGTTGGTAAGGGTCTTTGGCCAGGATTTTGTGGTTACACCCCTACTCTTTTTGAGAAACGCCCTGGATTTTTAATGATCACAGAGAGTCAGGACCTTGGTTTTATGTCTCATCTGAAGGTCGGCACCTTTTTAGAGTATTTTGTACCCGTCATTATACTGGGGCATAGACTGCAGGGTGAGCGCCCCCTGCTGGCCCCACTAATACCTCTTCCAGCAGCAACGTTAGTTTTTCCCAGGAGGTCTCCCATCCAGGTACTGACCAGGCTCACAGCTTCAGTGGGTTGCCAGATGTGAGTTGCAGGGTGACATGGCTGCTGGTTATCATTATTCTTATTGTTACTGATTTTAAAAATATATCATACCACAACTTTTAAAATTAAAGTATGCTGAATATATTAAGAGTTCCAGAATGGCTATAAACAAAAGAGGAACATGTGGACTGCTTACAGCTTTGGTTGACAATAGCTTAATCTTATTTTGCCTCTTCATGTAACTGATTAAAAGGATTTACTTCCAAAAACAAGGGGTCTAGTACTTTTTACCTCACCAAGCTGGTTAAAAATATCAAAATTCTGTTTACTGTGTTTTCATAGTTAAGGGATAAAAACACCTTTTAAGATGAAGTATAGATGCCTTACAGTACATGGTAGAGTACTTCTTTATTTTTTTCCTGTGCGTCTTATGTATTTCTCAGCTGAAAGAAATTAATGGAAGCTTGTGATACTATTAAAAGCAACAACTGAAGATAAAAGTATTCTCATTCCACTTACAAGTTATTCTTAACTGAACAAGGTGGGAAACCCAAGATGAAAAAGATAAGATTAAAATGTCAGTTTAATAAATCAAAATCCAATCCAATGGATCTATTCACCACATCGGAGTTAAATATTTACTGTTAGTGATTAGAGAACTACAAAGACGTCAGAAAATAGGGAGAAGCTTATTTCATGATTACAAACATGCATTTTGCCATCAGCTATATCACCCTGCAGCTCTCCACTGTAGCTAAGCAGGGTTTAGCCTGGTCAGTACCCGGATGGGAGACCTCCTGAGAAGCTACTGTTGCTGCTAGAAGTGGCGTTAGTGGGGTCAGTAGGGGGCGCCCACCTTGCGGTGTGTGTGGGTCCTATTGCCCTGGTATAGCCCTGGTATAGCGTCGGGGACACGACACGAGTAGTGAGTGCTGTCTTTCGGATGAGGTCCTGACTCTCAGTGGTCATTAAAGATCCCCGGGCATTTCTTGATAAGAGTAGGGAGTTATCCCGGTGTCCGGGTCAAATTTCCCTCCCTCGGCCTTTACCGTCGCCTCCAGATTATCCCCATGTATGATGGGCTTGCACTGGCCCTGTGATGGACTGGCGTCCTGTCCAGGGTGTACCCTGCCTTGCGCTCGTTGCTTGCCAGGTAGGCTCCGGCTTCCCGCGACACCGTGTGGTATAAATCGGTTTGGCAAATGACGTGACATGAAAAACTTGTATTTTGGTAGATTTTAAACAAAAACACTTTTAGCAAAAACAAGAATAAAAAAACAGCTACATTAAAACTTTAGCCCACTTATCAATCACAATAGCACCCAGTATTGTAAGGCAAAAAACTATGTGCTATAAGGAAGAATTTCTAAAAAATAAAAAGCCACTATCATGTACTGTGAACAGGAAAATGTTTTATTTAAATACAGGCCTAAATGGAAATAACAGGGTTTTGAACTAGTTTTATAGCAAATGGATGCAGAGAGGAGCATGAGAACATATTGGTTTTTTCCCCAACGAGGGCCATGGGTATATCTAGATTTCTATGAAAAAATATTCTCCTCCAGGAAGCCATTCCACAAGTTTAATAACAGCCAGGAAGGAGTTCCTTTCTTTAAAAAAATGTATAACCAGATGTGTTTGTAAAAACATTTCGAAGCTGAAACAAATCATTGCTCCCTAGTTTGTTGTCAGTCCTCTGGCTTAATATGCCCAATCAGTAAAACTCTTTAACTATCATTTAACATTTTTTGTCTGGCTTACTAGCTTTCACAAGAAATAGGTTTCACAAGACCCCATTTATTTATCCAATTTCAGTCCACTTGCCCTGTCTATGGAGCTCCATTGCACAGTTATGAGGCAAGGAAGCAGACAAAAATCCACCCTTTCTAAAGACTTATTGAATGGGAAAGGAAAAGGAAAAAAATAAAGAAGGAAATAAAGAAGGAAAGGGAGCCTTGCTTGAAACTGGAATGGTAGTACCCCAGCAGCCAGGCCTGAGGGTGGTATTTCCCGGTGAGTACAATACCCAGCCAATTTTAGCATAAAAAAAATGGTTATGTGCCCTTGTTGTCTCAACACCTCTTAGGCAAAAGGTGAAGTTGTGTAAAATGCCAGTATGGCAGTGAGAGGGATAAGTGCATCCAACAGGAAGCAAATGGTCTGTGTAAATGTGAAGACTAAGGCATTGTGATATTGCCTCATTTCCTACTTTCTATTGTTTAAAAACTCTGCAATTTATTAGAACAAAAGGTTACAAACTAAAGAAGGCTACACTATCATCTACAGTTGCTAGTAGCTAATTGATCCAACTTTTCATTTACCCATTTCTTGAAAAAGGGGTAACAACGTCAACATGGTCGGTCTTGGTCTAGACCCCCTGCAATTATTAGTACTGCTTTTCCCCGTAATGTAAAAAAGAGCACCAAGAATGGTGTTCTCATGCGTAGTAATGCTGTGATAAGACCTTGGGTCTTTCCAAGCTGTTTTCTTATGAGCCTCTTGCAATTACAGCCTGACAGAAGTCCTGCAGCAGGATTGCTGTGAAACTTGCCTCTCATGATTGTAATCCCTCCTCTTACGGGCGCTCTGGCCCTTTCATATTAGTTGATTATGTGCACCTGCCCTCTGTTTGTCCCTCCTAATTTAAGCCTGACGCTCTCGCTACTCCTGGCTCTGCATTGGAAGACAGACGCCCGGAGGCCCGCCTACCTGGTCGCCCTACGTCCCCGGCTTAAAGGCATAGGCTTCCTAACGGTGTCCTGACCAAGCTGAGTCTGGTTGCTCGGAGCGCTCACCCCATTTTAATCTCCTTTTCCTGTGTTCCATGTTCCTGTTTTTTTCATCGTTTTGTCTGGGATGGACCTACCGGTTTTGGACCTTGGACTGTGCCCTGGATTCCCCCTTTTGGACTGCTGTGGAACTGCTCGCCTGCGCCACGACCCCTGAGCACTGGATCACCACAGTCTCACCCCCCTGTCTGCCATCCAGTCCTGCTCCTACTGTGTTTCCCATTAAGTCTTAATCCAGTCACTTCCGGATTATACCGTCTGCACAGGGTCCTAAACTACACATCGTGACACTTGCCCTTGTAAGATGTGCAGCAGCTGCTTGATTCCTCCCCAGACACGGATCTCAGTGCTGGTTTCAGGGTCCTCACACAGCTGCACCAGAATCCACACCACACTCCAGAGCAGCTTGAGGTGCTCGGAGTGAAGGAGGCTCAGCAAAATAGGGACCCCTTCAAAGATTTTAACCTGCTCCCTCACCTGCTGGTCAGCACACAGCAGGCGGAGCAGCTCTGCAGCCATCCTGAGGAGGAAAAATGGAACCCATGCATACACAGGGATTTAAGAATTTGAACCGGCACTGAATAAACAGGTTAGAAACACCATTAGAAAATGAGACTAAGGCTTTCAAAGGATTCTACGAGAAAAACCTCTAAAAGACTTTTACTTAAACAAACTCTTTTACTAAAAGCGACTTCCGTAGTTTAACAGATAACGATCTTAGGTTAATGGTCATTTCAAAATGTGTAGTGTTTAGATCAGTCTACAAAGAATAAGTGCATGACTTACCTTTTTAAAAGCAAATCATACTCCTGCAAAATCATCAAAAGATTTTCCACAATCATGAGCTCCCCGATCTTCTCTTTATAATCTGGGCTGAAAACAAAAATACATCAAGCCAGGTCAAAGTAATGCAGCATCCAAAAATGGAATCCATAAAAGTAAATAACACTTACTTTGTCACTTAATAAGAGTGTTAATTACATTTCATAAATTTTATTGAATGAAAATACCTCCAGAAACTACCTATGACCCACATACAGTAGCTCTTTTATTATTATTGCACAGCCAACAGATTGAAAACATCTGATTTCATGTGAAGCTTCATTGCTTAGCCACCTCATCTTCAGAAACGTACCTTTCAACTATGCTAGTCAAAGCCAGGAGAGCTCCTAGCAGAACACTGTTGTCTCTGGCTGCAAGAAGTTTCACTAACGTCTGCAAAGAAACACCACAGCAAGCCAATGTCATCACCTCTGAGTGAGATACAGTAGCAGGAGGGCAACATGAAAACAGAGGCAGCCTCCTTGTTAGAAAACTACGGCATGAATCACGACACAGAGTTTTTTAACATGTTTCTCAACCTCCCTTTCTACCGCACTGTCAACAATTTGCTTAAAACATACGCATAAAGTGAGGGTACACTGCAGTGGTTATTGTCAGACAAATACGGTATCAAGTAATCTTGTTGCAGTTGTACAAAGTATAACTACAGTACATACAACAGAGTAGTCCTTTATCTCTATTTGTACTAACAGAGCCCAATTTGCTGACATGGACCTATAGTCTAAGAAGTCTATCCATCTATTTTCTAACTGCTTATTCCAATAAGCAGGAGGAGGAGCAGAAGTTATAAGTGTGGACAAAAATTATTTTACCTGTATTAACCTGTAAACAAGGAATACAAAGTAAATGTTCTTCTGTTGAAACGCCAGTTTTGATTTGTTTTGTTTAAAATTTTGCAATTTAGAATTTAGATTTTATTTTTGGTGTGTCAGAGAGGCTCAAGACTAAGACCATTGAGAAATTGCTTTGTGATTCTGCTTTGGTTTACTTCAGGATCATGTTTTGAAACTCAACACCAACATTTATTTTGCAGATAAGGTATTTCACTTGTATCTGCTTAATGTAGCAGATTTGCAGAAAAAAAAGATTCCCCTTTCTCATTTGTATTTTAAAGGGTACCAACAGGATAGTTGGTTCCATTTGAATACCAAAAGCATAATATTAATATATTAATATTTTAATTGCCTATAAGTATTACATTGCTACATAGATTACCTTATGAGCTCCACAAGCAATAATCCATTTTCTCTGCTCTTCAGCTGCGGCGATTTTTTGAAAAATATCTGAATAAAAACAATAAATAGTTAACATACAAAAACTAACACATTTTTCAAAAATGTGTGTGTCAAATATAATATAAGAAATCTTACACGTCATATTGACCAGCTTGTCCATTACAAATGGCTCTTCTCCACATTCAAGATATTCATTTGAAACTGTCTCCATGTGCTGTAGATGAGATACACTTTATAGAACTTAAGCTCAGGCTTAAACTGAAAGTAGAGTATTTTCAACAATATTTTCAAAATTAAATACATTTTTGCTTAAAGAGACATTTACGTTTAAGTTACAAAGTGACAAAAAATGATTCAAGTTTGAATAATAATCACATACAGGTATATTTTATGCCACATGCTTTCTTTACCTGAGCTAGACAATCAATTCCTTGTAGCTTGTGAAAAACTTTCTAAAGGTGGAAAGAAAACAGAGGTACTGATGAACACCATCCTTAGTTTTAGCAAAACAGTGTTATAACAGCACAGAGAGAACAATTTGACTGGAAGAATATCAATTTGAAGATTACAGTCACAAAGTATATATTTGTGCAATCTTGGTTAATATGGACTGTACATTGTAAGCTCCAAAGACTTTAAAACTGCCACACATATAGTTCACGTTTCATACTTTAATTACATATGTTTAGAAACCAAGCTCTATCTACACAACTGACCATCTATAAAAGCAATCATTGGAGAAAACTAAACATTGCGACTCATCGTATTGTGATTTGAATTTGACATGCCTAATTCATTCTTACTAGGGCACATTCTAATAAAAAACTTAAATATAGACTTAAATGTATTTATTGGGACTTTATACAGTACATGTACAGCAAAATAAGTCTTCTAGGAAAGTTATGTGTTTTTCAATGGACCAGCATTAAACACTATAAATCAGTTCGATATAAGGCTTTTGTAATAATGCTTATTACCATGCTGGGCAGCAAAAAAATTCCGAAACGTCTGAAGTGAAAAACTGTTTTAGTGGATTCGAAGGACCAGCGGAAAGTGAGTTCAGGTCTTAAACAATGTAACCGAAAGGCCAGCTGTTTCCTTTTGTTTGATCGTGACCCTGGTGTTTCTGCACGGGGCCAGGGTATATGAGTAACAGGATAAACGATACGCAGAGCAGCAGGATATCTCTCCAGATCACTGTGCTTCAGTGAAAGCACTTCCCCAGCAGAATTAAACTCACTGCAAGCAGGTGGCTCTTAGGCCTTCTGTAAATCGCATACATTCATTACGAAAGTATTTGCAGTCGAAAAATAAGTATATCTTCTAGTTTGTCCTATGACACCAATCTGAGCTTTTAATAATTGTAATTTGACAGCATGGCACTTTAAAATGTACCTGGTACAGTGGCTCTCTCATTAGCAGTCGCAGGCAAATCAACACTCGCAGGAAGTTATCAGCTTGGGCATGATCAGTCCACTCACTGAGTACAAAGAGTATATGCAACACTGTCAGTTAGCAGTATCTTAAATTTATGATGCATGTTGAATCTAAATGCCCCCTTCACAATATAGAAAATTAAGACAAGTGTAAACAAATTAAAACACATGACTCTTTATGCCCAATAATGTCTCCTTTTGTCTTTTCCTATCCTGCTGATTACTTGAAGCCACAAATGGAAATTATTCCTAAGCACATCTAACTAGACTACAAAACCTACATTGGCATTTGTTATTTAATACATTATTATTGTTGTCAGAAAATATATCAAAAGTCTATACTGGAGCCACAGTGGCTCATCTGTCCACAGTTCATCCTGATTTTCATAGTGTTAAATGGACTAAAGAGCATGACCAGCCCCCGAAATGGGGAGGTGGGTCATCCCAGGAATTACCACCAGAGCTGGTCCCCACATATACAGCAGGGTGTGAACTGGAGCAATTGGGGTACACTACTTCTCTCAAGGGGTACAGCAACAGTGTTTTGCAGTGGAGACTCAAACCCACAACCAATGAGCCCAAAGCTTACTCCTACAAAGGTTCTTCCCCTTTCCCCTCATTCCTAAGATTATTCAAACTAAATTTTCAATCTAACTGTGAAAAACTCACTCGATATAGGCAAGCTACAGCAGAATTCCCAAAAGGACCATAATGAATGATGCCTATGGTTTTACCTGGAGGTTAATCTGTTCTTAACCAGAGCAGTGAATATGTCCAGAAAATGTTTGTGCTGTGGTCGGCTGCTGAAGTTTCTTTCATTCTTGTAAGTCACGCTTTGTGTAACAAAAGAAGAAGCAAATGTTGATTCGCAAGATAAACGATACCATTTGTCTTATTAATGTAACGTTAACACTGCATCTTCACAAGGCTATTGCAATAATCGCATTCAATGTGCTTTGACAACTGTGAAAAATACAGCTTTACAGCGCCGAAGGTGTTTTTTTCTCTCCTTTTTTCTCCTTCTCCTGCGAGAACAGTGAGGAAGAAGCCTGAAACGGCCTTTGACAGCAGGTGTGAAGCCAGAGTAGCTTTGAAACAACATTTCGACGTCATGATGTCCATCTGATAAGCTGAAAAAATGAGGTTTTGAAGGTCAAGCTGCTATTGTAGTTCATGATATGAGAGAAATTATTTCAGGGGCATTGAGATACAGTACTCTACAAAGAAACCCATCACACAAGTGCCCAAACAGAGGCAGAAGGCCTCACCATGTCATGCACAAAGACACAATTCTAAACTTTTGAATGATGTTACAATTGTGTTTTTCTAAGGATTTGTTTGACTTATAGGTTGACTTGCCTTATAGGCCTTACCAATAGTTTCATAAACCTTACGAAATTACTTAAAAATAAATTGGGCCAATTAAAAAGTTATTTTTTTTGTAATTTCTGTGACTATAACTCAATTTCTTCTATACAGATCATATTGTAAGGTAAGGAAGACTTTGCCCTTGCTACTGCTTTAGTGCCGGAGTCAAAATATCTAAAACAATCAGCAAATACTTGTTGATTTTTATTTTGTTTTATAAAAAATGTCATTCACATTCATATTGTTCTAGGGCACATCTTCATTACCCAATCAATTAAAACTATACTGAAGGTTCCAGATAGTTGTCACAAGACATTTTGGTACTTCTTATAAAGATGTTTTCAAGCATTCATCGGCAGTGCTACCTGATGAAAGAGAAGTGAAATAAAGAAGAAGGAACACATTTCCAAAATCTTACGTCTCTTGACAATGTAACAACTTGGTTGTTGCTTAGACCATTATGATTCTCAAAGGAAGAAGAAACGTCTTCCATTAAAGCATATCTAGAGAATTCAGAATGTTATTTTAGAAAAAAAAACTTGAAGTAAAATAACTGATATGTCAATGTTTGTTTTGATACTGAGGACTTCAAGTATTGCTTGAAGTATACAGTACATAAAAAAATTACTGTACAGTTAGTACAAATTAAGTAAACTACATTGTGCACCTCCATACCTAAAATTCTCCAATTCTATATCCTCAGTGGATTGTTGTTGTTGATTCCTGTTTTTAATGGTACTATTCCTTTGAAGAGAGGGCTGTTGCTGTGATTTTGCAACACTGCTACATGCCTTGTTACAGCTCACAGCTCCAACCTGCAAAGACACACAGAAAATAGACGTTCTTCATAGAGAAAAGCAATCTTGTTAATATTTTTAAAGACTATTCAGGGAATTTGAAACATGGATTTAAATAGTACAATATAAAAAACGGAGTTATTGCAGCAGGAAGGCAAAATACTGAATACAGAAGGTTTTACATATCTATTCTCTCAATTTTAATACAATAAGTAATGAATAAATACAGTATAGCTAAGGGATTTACCTGACTTTTGCTTGCTGCTGGAACACTAAGCAAGGAGTAGAGTCTTTTGAGGTCTGAGAATGCCCTGAATATAAAAAGGCACATTTTATTAGTACTGAGGAAGAACATGTTAATAATAGAGGACACCAAACCCAAAGTTACACAATATTAAAATCTAATATATGTTACATGAGACGCATTAACCTAAAATTTATATTTTTAAAAATATATATTTAATCCTTACTTGTCAGCACTTCCTTTTGTCTTTGTCAATCGTCCTTTGTCCGTTCGTTTTACCTTTTTATCTTGGTCAGGCATGGTAAAGTGTCAGGTTGACTGCATTTAGTAGTCATTCCTAAAAATCCACACAAAAATCAGTGAAGTAACCATTTAATCTGTTGTAATGTAAAATATATGTTACATAAATACTATTGCATTACGAAGGATAACTGAACGACTGAATTGACTGTAAACTGTAACATATAAAGCCCAATAAATAAAATATACAACATTTTCTATAACCGAATTTATTACAGTGCTCCTTTCCAGAGAACTTAATAGTCATTAGACGGACTGTGTTAAAACAACATACGCATATTAACCACAGAGAGGACAAAAAACATTATGGTACTCGTTCAGATGGCATGCTGGAAAACTAAATTGTACACAGCATTAAGTGAATTCCCAGTGCAGCAGCAGGTCTGTACGTGCTACTGTTTATTCAACATTAGAAAACCTGCGAAGCTAATTGATAAACAGAAGGGAATAGTTAGGCTATGTCAGCGCAAAACGCTAGTGGCTGCGGAAAACAAAACTCGCTGTCGATCTTCAAGCTTCTTTCAACTACACATATTCTAAAACGATCACTTGCATCATTCGACTATGATGCATACTACTTTTTGAAATGAGTTTCAAACCAACCCGTGTTCGTATAGGTGGAGGGCATTCCCGGAAAAATATTGATTTTTTTTTTATCATTATAGCTATATCTCTTTGCGACATGATGCTATGCAAGTGATTGTAAAATATTATTTTTATTCTCAGCACCCTTTTAATGAAATTATTTCTTTTTTAAAAAAACACGCTAGAAAAAATGTATAGAAAGAAGCCTTTTAAAGATGTTTTAGAAATGAATTTCTTCTACTATTAATTTGTAAAAAATAAATTCTCCAATGAACATTTTAAAATCTTCTTTAAGAAGCGACTGTATAGTATTTCCATCCTGTAAGCGAGACATTTAATTATTAGCAAGAACTGGACTTAATCCTCAGCCACGAAAACAGTTCCAAAGGTTAACGACATTTATGTTCATGTAGATTCTGCTTATTTTCATTACAGAGAAACCAAGTTTGAGAACAAATATATATATAATTATTTTCACTTTAAGTTGATTTGCTGTTTTTTTTTCTGCAGGGCACACTGTCCTCCAGTAATTCGGAGCATACTGCCAAAATAGGCCTATTTTTTACATTCTAGTCCTTCTGCATCAATATCAGAGTTAATCTGGCGATTAATGTGAACCTGTATATGTAGTTCGCCTGGGTAATAGATTGTTGTGGACTTGAGAAATTATTTAGAAAGGGCGTCTTGGAAACGTGACCAAAAGGTCCCCAGAAACAAACGTGTCATTCTATAAATAGCGTGTAATTTTGGAGCATCTGTTCTGACAGTGCACTTTTGTTTATGTATTTTAATTAATAGCAGCACCTGTGGATTTCGTATTTCCACTTGATCCAAAAACACGTCAGTCGGATTTATGTTTAAACTGGGGTGGGGGTCCAAATTGCAAAGAACTTCTTACAAATTATGAAAACGCTGATCCCGAGAACTGTGATCATGCGCTTTGCTAAAAATGCATTGTTTAGGTTTCGGCAGCGCCGAAAGTAATTTACTTCTGCAGAGAAGGCAGGAAATACTGCACGAAGCACCTGCTTCCTGTCCTAGTTAACCAGCGCAAATAACATTCTTGTTTATAAAAGGGATTCAAAAGGAATAGAGCTGAATTATTCTAGCTAAAGCGCGGATCGGTGGTGTTACGCCCCGTGACAAACGAGAATAACATCCCGTCCAACCTATGTGGACAGCAAATATATTATGTTAGAAAACGTCGTTTATAGGACTATAAGAATATCTAAAAACTAAACTGTTTTCAAAAACACCTCGAGAATACCAAATCTCTCAACCGAGAAATGTGAGGTTTCTTGTCAGACACTATAGTCATCACAGATGCGCGTCGTATTATTCAATTGCATTGACTGTCATCGTGTTACTTTTCGGTTTATTCTAACAGAAATTACGCAGTACTTTTCTGTAATACGTACAGTGTGTTTCACATACTGTATGCGTACATAATTCGTATAATATAAAACTTGTAAGTATCGTCTATAGTAATACGTTTAATACATTCCATATCTAGACATTTACAAGCAGGGAGGTTCTGATTTTTATTCTAATAGTAATACAAGTAATCGGGTCTATTTTGTTTGCAAACTCATTCATGGTCTGTTGACATTTAAAATATTTTACCGTATTTACATATTACCGCTTGACTTACAGTGTTTGCGACTGAATATTCCAAGTCAGCACCATAAGCAACAGCAGTATAGCAAGCACTGTAGACTTTTCTTACCTTCTTCATATCTGCCAAAAAATAAGATTGTGAAAACCACCCTAACCTACACGTATTCGTATTATAACATAGTCTAGCGATCCGTCACAACAGTAGTTTATTTTTAATAAAACTCCAAAAACATTGACAGTCTATTACCGAATCGGAAAACAGCTTCTTGAGATAGGAATAGAATTCCGACCAATCATATACACCGATGTTAATAAGTGCCTATTACCATAGTTACCGCTGACGCCGTTCTCGGTCCGGTCGTCATGGATTTGAAAATGCTAAACTCTAATGAAAGAGGAAGGAAGGTGCAAAAATCATACATTTATTTTATTATCTAATGGATTCATGCGCGAATCCTGTTAGTAGCTGTTTTAATAGTTAAGTAAATAAGGATTGCAGATAACATGAATATTTACCAAAAGGCTTTGTCTGTAGGATTAGGTAAGGACTTTAAATGACATTATTTTCAGATAGTGAAGTAAGACTATAATTCCTTGTAGAATTGTAATAAATTGAAAATAAATGCAAAAAAACCCATAATCATTACTTTCACTGTATTACTAGCGATGGTTAATATTTTTTAACCTCTTGTTCAAACCATAATTATATATACTGTATATTACCCTTCAAAAATATTGGGGCAGCAAAATTAAAAGTGTTATTTTTGATTTACCGTCAAGCGTTTTATGTCTGTGTTTATAGGATTAATATAAACGATACAAATATGATTTAAATGCAAGCATTTGAGCTTACATGTTTAGTACAAAAATATTTTGCGCTCAACCCAGTGTTTTTAAGTGACGATATTTATTGGTACAAATTCACTTTAAGTAAATTTCAAAGTTGAAAAACGATATAATTGTACCGATGCAATAACTGCATCACATCTGTGACCAACAGAGCTCACCTGACTCATCATCTGAGATGCTTTGCTGTACGTCCAATGAGTTACTGTCTATTCTTGGGGTGTTCTATCTCCATTTTTTCAGCAGCTAGTAAAATGCATCACCTGGATTTAAATCTGGAGATTACCTTGGCCAGTCTAGAATTTTGTTTTTGTTGCTTTTTCTTCTGATTGACTCCATGGTATTATTGTATGTTTTAGGTCTTTTGCATGCTGCATGGTGAAGCACAATACAATAACTACTGAAGCATTTTCTTGTACTTACACATACAAGTTGGATCTATTAACTACTAACTACCAAATGGACTAGAAGGTCTAAATGAGTTCTTCTCCTTTCAACCCTTTATTATGCTCTTATGTTCCTAAGTGGTGTTCGACGACCAGTAGGAGTCAGTCTTTCCTTTGGTCACGCTCCAGTATCATGACCATGAACACTGCGCTGTAAGAGGTACTGTCCCTTAGATGAGATGTTAAACAGAGGCCAGGTTTCCATGAAACCTGAAAGATTTCATGAAAGATTCCAGGGCGATCTTTTAAAATATAGTCGTGTTAAGTCTAATGTCCTGGATAAATTCTACAGTCTGCCACCCTACATTTCCCAAACTGCTGAAGCTATTTTTCGCTTATCCACTGGTGGAGTGGTGGTGGAGCACTGGTTTCTGCTAGTGAAATAGAGCGCTGAGTTCCATCCTATCCCTTTGAGGTAAAAAAAAACACTATATTAAAGAAAGGAACTACTGTATTAGAATCATTGCCTATTTGCTTTAAACAACTGGATGTGTAATTACCCCGGATTTCCTCTAGATGTCACAACCCAATGATGGTGTCAAGATCACCGTATTTGTATTATAAATAAGGTGCTGCCAGAAACTGCGCCGTGAAGTTGGCCCCGTACAAAGAGCACGGATCACTGAGTATTTAAATACGTAACGAGTAATACTGGCCTCCTGTGATTTTCAACCTATTTTACGTTTTAAAGTTCGTATTTACATTTGGTAATGAGTTCCTAAGCCTGACGGGCATAAATACATAATTGTAGCCCATCAATCAGGAAACAGATCATGGAGATTCCCCTTCAGTAGCGAGTTGCTGTATTTAAGAATCATTCACAGGTTCCTATTCAAAATAATTACTCCACAGTCCTTTTTCCCGTTCATTTCTTTGTAATGCTCTTATCAATAAACCGAGCAACAACTTAGTAATAAAGCCCGGAATTAGTAAAAAAAAAAGTACCATTCTTACTTTATACGACTAAATTTATATTGACGTGGTTAACCATTGACCAAGTTATAAAGAAAACAGGACCCTAGCCCTGTTGTGTCCTGAAGTACTCCCCCCTTTCCTCCCTAAAAAAATCTTAAAAATCTCTTTGGTGTGGCCGCTTTCACTCTCGCGAGACATCAGAGATGCGCTCAGATGGCAATTCACCAAAGATCGGGTACGAACTTTACCGTGTGGTTTGAAGTGGAGACCGACGATCATACGCTGAGGAAATTGCGTACGTGCGTTGTAGAATTGAGGGGGCAGCCGTGAGTTCGCGAAGTGGAATGTCGGTCTGTGCACGGTCGGTTACTGAAGCGTCTGGGAACGTCAACATCATGGGTGAGTCTATTGCGTTATTATAAACCGAATGGTGTGTTTTTTTTTGTGCTTGATGTTCACGTTGTGTGAATTCGGGGTATCTGGTAGAGAAAAATACCACCGCCCAACAGCGTTGAAAAAATCTTTTCGTGCGTAAAAGTGAGTGGAGCAGGAGCATTTCCTGTGTAGATTCTCTGGGCTTGTGCTTTTCTACAGCTTAAAAATAACTACTATTTTTTTTTCTGGTCTGTGGTCTCATATTGTCGTAGTTCACGAAATCAGGAGATTCACAGACTTTAATTGTTTTTTTTTTCTACACTGTCCTTTCCAAACAAGTGCATGCATTTGGAGACATGAAGACATGATGATTGTATCTATCAGCAACTGGGAAGGGACTTGGGACAAGTGGAATAAGTTGATCGGTTACAGTATATATTCGGAAGACAAACGGACAGAAATGCACGTCATTTGGAAAACGATCCGTAAAGCGCATCCGCATTTGTATAGCATTTTCTGTAACTTTATACGGCGACGATGTTTTGATGTGGCTTTGAAATCCACTTAAGAAAAAAAACAACAACAACCGGGCTCCTGTTTGTTAATGCCATTTGTTTGGTTGTCTATCTTTTGTCTCTGTGTTTTTCTTTTCAATTCCGATCGTGTGTCCTTGCGTTGCGTGCGCGACCGAATTTCACCAACTCCCTAGTCGGTTTTCGATGTGGTTACTGCTCCTACCTTCCCTGTTCAATACGCAAGCTGTGACCGCAGAAAACGTAAAGATATGCAGAAATGATTGGAAGATTGTGACCCTACAGCGATTACTGGGAATGCGTGAAAGCCAGGGCTTCGTTTGTCTTTGCTATCATCAGACAAAGATGTCTGTTGAGGGAGTCAAAAGCTATCACGTAGATCGTAGAGAAGCGTTTCAAATGTCCCAGGAAGTCCCATAATTACTTTTGAGGGGTCACGCCCCCGCCCGTGTCGCCTAACCCTGAATGAAACGCTTTTTTTGTGTGTCTGTGCGAGATGAAACGTTTTGAAAGAGAGGGTTTATCACGGAATATTACCTCAAATTCTTTATGTCGGGAGATATCACAATGTACGTCACATCTAAGGAGTGTGCCACAGCCTGTGGCAGCAGAGAAGTCATTACAGAGCTGTAGTGTTATGATTTTCCTATTGTAAGCAAATGAAGAGGAGTAATAATCATGCGCTGCACAATGTAGTTTTGTGACTTATGCAAAGAGGTGTTTTGTGCCCATCACTTTTTAAGTATAGCGAGATGTTATTTTAAAATTTTGATTCTATTTGCATGCACTCCAGAAATCAGCATGGAAGAAGGGATCCATGCTGTAAACGTTACAACATCGCCCCCAGCCCCCAGTCTTCTGCACTGGGACATCTGGTCAGTTTTCCGAGAGTTCAGGGCTCTTGGAATGACACCAGGCGTCGTTTGTCTTGAAGAAATGAATGTTATGGCCTCCCGCATTGTGCCAAGAATGAGGCAGGAGAGAGGAGCATCATATGAGCCACAGAGCTCTGGAGGAGCGTCCGAGAGTGTGATGCTTGCTTTGAACTTACATAAATCACTACTTTCTGGAAAGGACCCACTTTACTGCGCGTTTAGTCAGATTGGTCTTATTATATAGCACTCATTATGCAAAGGAAGTGCCGAGCATGTTTCTTAGCACAAAAGTCACGTTTCAAATGATTAAATGAGGATAAAAATGGTCAAAAACAAGGAAATTACATGCCAAAGCTCCTATACAGTATAGAAAATATTTTTTTATAGCAGATTCTTCGTGAGCATGGTAAAATCTCATTTGTTTGCAATTAATTCATGACACATCATCTCTCATGTGACCCCCCAGCATGTGGGCATTTTAGAAAGGGGCGAGTTAAAATGATCCTCTGGAAAACTGAAGGCTTTTTATTTTTAGTCTCGAGCAAATGCATGTTCGAGCCTTGTTTTTTTTTTCCCCCCTTCTGGCGTAAATATATAAGAAACAACCTTGGAATTGTTCTAACCATTTCTGTGCTAGTAGCCATTTTTTTGGGTTGGGGTAAATGTTTTTAAAATATATAATCTTGTATTCCATGAGACTTTTAGTCTTTCAGTGCATGGCTGTGTAAGGAATGAAAAAAAATGGAAGCAAGGAGGACAAGATGCTTATTAAACGGCAAAAAAAAAGACTTTTCTGTAGGTTGGAAGTCTTCAGCTCCTTATAAAGTCTGGCTTAGTTTGCAGTCTTTGAATTCTTTATTGCCATTAAGTTGTGGCTATCGCTTTAGTTGATATAAGCGATTGGCTGTATTTTGGATGGGTTACTTAATAAGCTACAGTTCCTTTTGTGATGTCTCTCTTTGGATTCAGTATGCAAACAAACCTGCAGATCTAACCCCCAAAGCAGCCAAACTCTGTGCAAAGGAGCAATCATGCTTCGTTGAGCGATTGAATAAGATGCTAATAGTATAGATGGCGGGGCTGACGCAGAACACGAATAACCCAGTCAGAGCTTGTTCAGGTGCAGCTGAGACTTAGGAAGTTTGAAAATAACATTGTGGCCACAAAGTAGAAGGAGGAAGCAGCAGCAAGAGCAAGCAGCAGATGTGCTTGGTTCTCAGAACAGCAGGGCTAAGGGAGAACCAAAAACCACCTAACACCCTTCTTCTGGAGGTCTTGGTGCACTTGTGAAAGAGGCGAAGCTGAAGAAAGTCGACGTTGGCACACGAAGAATAAAGCTTTCAGGCCCAGCCGAGCTTTGCACCCCTCGGTACCGAGATCCGCTGCTTGCTGTGCTAGTAAACGCTCGAGTGCTCGCAGGAGCATGGAGGGGGGAGCACGCTGCTCTCAAACCTCAAGCCTGCATATACAGACAGCGTCGCACCACAGCACTTCCGGCAGTTTACCCACCAGCAAAGAAAACAAGTCCCGGGCTCTTCAAACCGGGGGCAGATTGCCTTAAAAAGACATGCAGCTTTTTCACTGACAAGTGCCATTTTGACTCTGGGGGAAAAATAAAGTCAAAGAAAGTCTCATCTAGCCGGTGTTCCTTTCCTCTTGATTGAAATTTCCAAGGCTAATCGGATCACGTTAAGCTGTTTTTCAAACGGTCCAGTTCAGGTTCACGGCAGCCCGGAGCCTGTCCCAAGGCGGGATACACCCTGGATGGGACGCCAGTCCATCGCAGGGCACACGCAAGACCCAAACACCAGCATTTCTTTGGGCTTTTTGGGGATTAACCAGAGCCCTTTGAGGAAACCCCAAGTGCACGTGGGGAGAACTTACAAACTCCACACAGACAGCCTTCCAGGAATTGAACCCAGGGCTCCAACACTGCGAGGCTAACCACTGTACCACTGTGCCACCCGTCAGAGGCTGAAGCTACTTATATCACTGCCTCTTCAATTCAGAACTTGATTTTATACAGTGCTATACGGTGGCTGGGTTGAGCAAGAAGGTGAAAACAACAGTCATGCTAGTGCTGATATTTCAGAGGTACTGTTTCCTGGACACATGGGTCTATCCTGACCCTCTGTGGACATCACTGTTTGAAAGAATACATGTAACCTACATTTCTAGCTTTGGTGTAAATATAATTTATTGTGACTGCAATGCGCACCTTGTGGAAATGCCACTGTCTGTGGCTTGTTAAAGATTTTGGCAGGAGGCAGGCGTCATTCATTTCAGTAAATTGAATCTCTCAGCGTTCGGTCACCATACGGCTCATTTAAAAATATATGAATATATGTAGGTCTTTGAATCATTCAATATTGGTACACTTAGTCTCCTCATTTTCTCTTATTGTTTTACTGTGACATTAGGCAACATTTGACAAAGTCTTAGTAAGGGTTTTGTTTAGAGGGAAGGCCTCAACTAAATTCAAATTGTATTTATCAAGTAAATCCTTGAAGATTTTATCCAGTGCATAACATAGTTGTGAATGTGGCTTTGAGTGCCTACATAACACATAAGCATGCGTCATTTCAGCCATGCAGGGTATGTCCTGTGTGGTTCTTTAGTTCTGGTCCAGTAGAAGTGAAATGTGAATGTAATGTAACACTTGCCTTCAGAGGAAGAAGACAAGCCACTTAGATAGAATCTAGAGGAAGTGATGCTGAGCGTTTGTTTGTGCAATCCCACAATTTTTTCACATTCTTGCGACTGTTTAGGTGCAGTTTCTGAAAGCGTATTGGTAGTGTTATTGCAGATACTGTGCACTATACTGGTGACTGTGGTCTTTCTTTGCTTATGTTAAAAATGAATGGAGGATGTAGTATGTTTTTTCATATTTATGGAGGCGCTGTTATTTGTAAATGAAGAAGCAGCTTCATTAACATTATTTATTTCATGTTAATGCTTTACAATTTTTAACCTATTAAGGCGAGAGCTACAAGGTTGTAGCATAAACTAAAAATAAACAAGTTTAGTGACCTTGCAATGTTGCTTCGTGGATTAGAGTTCTATACTGCTGCTATGAGCAGTGAGACTAATTACATGAGTCAATAGTACATGGTTCATTTGAGGATGGCTAGAAATATCAGTGTGGGAATGGATTTAGTCACTTTAAACCTTTATCTGAATATCTTAAGCTTTAAACCTTGACATTGTTATATTGAGACAACCAGACTGCCAGAATTTGAATTTTTGTGTGAAGAATTCACTCTAACGGTGACAATATCCTTGAAGCAGGAGGCCTGTGTAGTTTAATTCCAGTGTCAGATGCAGGCCCAGTGGATATGGTGACACCATGAGCACTTTCAGGATTAAACGAGTGACTTTCAAGATGCTATGAAAGCAAGTTCAAATGTTGCAGGAAGTCCTTCTGAATGATATAAGTCTAAGGGAAAATTTTTAAGTCTCGGCTCCCAGGATGAATTGATCTGCAGTGGTGTAACATTGACATGGATTTCTATCACTTCTATCATGAGGCATACTGGAATACAGAGGGGACACTTGTAATGGAACAGGCAAAGATCTTTTTCACTGTAGGTTTTGTTTGGTGTGTTTTTGTTAGTATTTCATGACTGCTGAATGGGCAGGCTTAATTGTTAAGCTTTGTACCAGGTGTTACTGTGTTTTGCGCACAGTTCAGGTGTTTTACTGCACCTTGCACCTTTTAACTTTATTTCATTATGGTTTTGATGACTAGGCGGTAGCATTTTCAAAAACCCCTTTTACTAAAGGCTTTCACAACATTTAAAATGCCAAATGCCGATTATGAATGACTCTAAATGCGTTATGTGAAAATCAGCAGATGCTGGTGGTGTTCACTTGTCTCTTGATTAGTGTTGGGTTATGGGACACCCTTTGTTTTTTAGATGTTTTTTTGGTCAGGTTAGTATTACTGTAGTATCCTTCTGCAATACAGAACATAGATATAGTCTGTTCTTTACAGTATTACTAGTATTTTCACAAAACAACATTGTGTTTATTACATTGAGTATTGTAAGTCCTGTTAGGATCAAATATGAAATAATTGCTTACATTCTTTTTAAAGTTGATCAAATTCATGTTTGTTTCATTGTAAGAAATGTATTTGCACTGAACTCATTTTCTTTCTTTTTTCCATTTTTCTTTCCCTTATTGCTGCATCTGCCTGGAACCCTTCAATTACATCCGCTGCCTGGAATTCATCTGCTTTTCTCACTTGTATTGGCCGATTGATCCTACATGAATGATTTTCAAAGTAGCTGTAAGTACCATCTTCTCTATGTGGTACAACCTAGTTCTGTAAGAGATGTCATATTTAACAGCAGCTGTTTGAATTTTATTGGTCGTTGATTGTTTTTGCCAGTCAAAACATTTTTCGAACTCTGTTTCTGTTGAAGGAGAAGGTTGAGGTTACTTACTTCACTGAGCCCTGCGGCAATAAATAGTACTCATTGTTTTCATAACTTCAAGGATCTATTCTGCTGTTTTTTATATTAGCTTTAGTTTCTGAAATATAAGGTTTTAGCTACTTTTCAGTTATGTTTTGACTTCACACTGGAATCAGGTGATTAATGTACTCATGTCGTTTCTTTTTGCTTTTTCTAGCAACAGAAGAACTTGGAGGGATATGTGGGTTTTGCCAATCTTCCCAATCAAGTGTACAGAAAGTCTGTGAAGAGAGGGTTTGAGTTCACTCTCATGGTAGTGGGTGAGTTGAGCTTTCCTAATCTTTCCTTGGTATTAAGTGTTTGTTAATAGTTAACTCAAAATAGTTTGTTAAATCTTAGGACAGCATTAAAACAACGTTATTTTAAACTATTTACTTGGACTTGTAATTATTGGTTCAGTTGTGCTTTGTAGTTTTATGCAACTTTTTGTTTCAGCAAAAACAGTTAGGTCCAGCACGTTTTTAAGTTTTTCTTACATACCTTAAACCTCATTTTAACACAATGTAGGGGGAGTAAACATGATGTAAGTTATTACAAAAGGTTCATGCATAGAAGATTGATTTATCAGAGTTCAATTTCCAAAAGCCTAAATGATGTATAGCCTAATTTTATGCAGGGTAAAATAGCTTGAGTAATTGTTTAACTTCGTGATAGAGAAAACCTGTCTAACGAAAATGTGTTTCCATTCAGTGATCAAGGCAGGCTGCTTTTTTTTTCTTTGGGAGCTCTGGAAATTTTTCTGCGCGCCTTGGGTACTGGGTGGGAAACTTCCTGTAATTTCATTCATTCGGCCAGAAATGGCAGCCAAACAGCTGAGAAATTCACATCTACTTGAATAGCTCAGCGTAGAGTACAAATTGCTGCTTCTCTTGTTGTGCCATGGATTGGCCAGTGATACCTGAGCAGGAAAGGCCCATTAACACCCAAGATCATTTTGAGCTGCATCATTTCCTGTTCGTCTCTGCAGTCTTTCAGCCCGGAATTCTTAGCAATTGAAAGCTAGTGGTTGCTTTGAGGACTCCACCAGCAGGAAAGCAGATGTGAAGAATTTAAACCCTTCATATTCATCCAGTTATATACTGGGTTTCTTGTGCAGTTTATTTTGAACGTCTGTATTTAGTCTCATTTTATTTGAAGTCTCATTGGCTGGCACGTCCATTTTCTGTACAGTATGTCAGCTTTGTTGTCCCTCTAGAAATTTTGTGAATGTTGGTTTCCTTCATCCATTGTAGAATACAAAAACATTATGTTTCCATCTATAAAGCAAAATGCATTGCGATACTTCACATATGTCATATATAAATATAGCCAATATCCTTATATAACAATCACAGTTGTATTTAACTGTTCTTTTGCAGTTGACCATCTGATTCTCCTTTTTTAATGTTTTAAAAGTTCACTTCACATAGAAAGCATGGTACACACTAGCGTACATATGACAAAATACATTGAAGCTGTATGAAAAACTAGGAAAAATCTTTAGAGTTTAGTCAAAGAAGCCAGGTAAAATATTGCATTTAGAGTTTAATACTGCTGACAAAATATAGACTAGAATCTCCCACGTCCATTTGTAGATTTTTTTCGGACGTTTAAAATGCGTAGTCATATGATTGTGAAATTGTTTTCATTAAATAAACTTCAGTTGGCTGTATCGGGCAAAATCTTAAACCATAGACATTATAAATTTGAAGTGGCCTTTCATGTCAACTGGATTTGTCAGGCTGTAGTCTTGCACTTTTCCTCGAGTATGTTTGCATTCTTACCTACCATCTACAGATCTGCACACATCTTCTCAAACTCCCTTCCCTCGACCCCAAAAAGGACCCAAACCTGAAGCAGGCTCCCTGCTTCATTCCTCACAAGTTATAATAATTGCTTACACTTATATAGCGCTTTTCTGGACACTCCACTCAAAGCGCTTTACAGGTAATGGGGACTCCCCTCCACCACCACCACCACCAATGTGCAGCATCCACTAGGGATGTTGTGACGGCTCTGACCTTCGACAGTGCTGTCATTTCCTGAGGCAGTTGAGATAACATTTAAGTGTTACGCGCTCCATACCTTTATATCGGTCGGGTTGTTTAATTTTAATTTAATTTTTAGAATTTCACCAAACCGCTGAATTGGATGCTCAGTAAAGAAGGGTGAGGAGCTATAAGTGGAAAAACGTCACTACTAAAGCTTCTCAAAAATTACAAGACGAGGTTTTTACTGGCTTTTTATCTGTTGCTTTGTATGTTAATGAAGTAGAATGAAAAATACTTTATGCACAATCCAAGACTTGTAATTTGCTGCTGCCTTTAGCACTTGAATGCAGAAGGGAGTTTCTTTAAATAAGCTTCATGGTTTATACAGCTGCACAAAATTTCCTTTAAAGGAAATATGCTATGGTGACCGAGTCTCATGGTCAGAACCTGGTTTACTAGAAGGCATTACTGGGTAGATGTTACTTAAGAGCTGTGCTTTATACCACTACCAGTCTATTAGAGGCTTTATTCATGGTTTTGGGATTTGTTTTAGTGCATACTTGTGATAGATTCCAATCTGCTGGGTAAATAAATTTTCCGTGAGGTGCAATGCTTTGTTTTGTGTGCATTCATACTAAAGGTTTTCTGATGGAAAATAGGATCTATTGTTGCACTTAATTGCTCATTTAACGTTTCAATATAAGCCGCCACAAATCTTTGGTTACTTAAGAAATCTGCTTGATGAAAGGTTTTTTAAAATGGTAAACCTGGATATCCTGTCTTTTTGGTACAGATCAGAAGGGGCTATCAGTGGTTCTGTAGCATAAACCTGTAGTGTTTAGTCCAGGAACCTTGTGCTATTTCAGAAGCAGAAGACAGGAAGTGCTTCATTTTAGTTTCAGTGCTGTTATTAAACCTGGTTTGTGGCCTACACCTGGTGTGTGGGTGACTTTTCAAGCTTGTCCAGCTGCTAATCATTTTCAGTGTGGAGCCATGGATTCTATATCCATTCAGTACTCCGCCCTGAGGGAAAAACGCCACTGTGATCTGAATGTCACTTTAGATGCCTCCCTGTGTTTCTAAGTGAAATAATTTTTGTGTGCTCTCTGGGTGGGCATGGAGGTTGGATTTCTGGAGCAGTTTTTTTTTCATATAAAGAATTGAAAATGAACAAAGAGAGCCATGGTTCTTTAGGTATCACTAACCACAGTGGGAGGTTCGGGTTTATAGACTCTTAGGTATGTCAGTATATACTGTATAATGAGCATCAAAGAAGCCTAGAAACCTTGTTTATTCACTTAAAAAAAAAAGATGTTGTGTTTTTTGTAGAACTGAAAGAAAAACTATAAACAGGCACACGGTACATGAAGTAGACAATAGTGACAAGTGAGAAAAACAAGAAGGGTGACATCCAGTTAAACAAAAACATTCGAATGGCAAAACCCGTTGCACACCGCGCAAAACAAGAGCAGGCCAAACACGCATGACATTGAAACCACCTTGACGCACCCTGCACTGAGAGAGAAAGGCAGTCCAGTGTTTTGTGCTCTCCAGCCAGAGATACAATGCCCCCATGCCACAAACTATCAAACATCTGGAATTGCTAGCCTTTAAGAGTCATCAACATAAAATCGAATTGGAAATCATTCTTGAGATTCTCTTCTCATTATCTTTATTATGGACATCTCCCAGGTTACAAACCATTTTTACCCCCATCATAAGCATATCAAAGCAGTATTTAACCTAGATTTTTTCCTTTACAGCCTCAGTATTTTTACAGTTTAGAGCAATCAACTTTTCTGCACAGTTCAAGCATTTTGTTTTATTTGATTTGTCTCCTGAGAACTTAATCAGGGTAACTGAACAAACATATCTTGGGATCCAATTAGATTACAGTTCCATTTAAAGGAGAACTGCAACGCTATTTTTATATTTGTGGGTGAGAAAGAATCGGTGTTGATGAGCCCATTTAAACCACAGTTAAAGTAAAACATACACAGTAACGTGTGGAACCTCCAATTTATATTGGAGAGGAACACTATACTGTAAAAAGGCTCTGTCCTTTGGATGAGATGTAAAACCGAGATCCTGACTCTGTGGTCATTAAAAATCCCAGGGCATTTCTCTAATAGAGTAGGGGTGTTATCCGGGTGTGCTGGCCAAATTTATAGTGAGCGTTCTGGTGCAGTCTGGCTGCCGTCGCATCATCCAGGTGGATGCTGCACATTGGTGGTGGTGGAGGGGAGTCCCCATTACCTGTTAAGTTTCCAGGTATGCGCAGTGCCATATTCTGCTATTTGGAACAAGGCAACCGAACTTCCTGCGAGGTGAAGCGACCCTATTCCACCGTGAACAACCAGGCTTGTGAATACATCTCTTTTAATTCAGTTGAAATGTTGCTCTTGACTTCAGGAAGGTTTTGCCAACAAACCTGTTAACTCTGCACGCAGATAACATTGGAACATTTCTGCAGCGAAATGTCTGCTGCAAAATCTGAACTTATTCTCTGTACGTTACATTACATTAGTCATTACAGTGAATAGTGAGAAGGAAGGGCTGATATTACGTTACAAATCTCTCTCACCCATGGTGAGACCAGGGGTACTATACAGTGCTTCACAGAGATCACGATTTTGTAAAATTTGTCAAATTTTGCAGTACCGTCAGTTAATTTGTTACCGAGATTTAATAACTGGTCCATTGTAATACTATTAGGTGAATACATCTTTGTCCCTGAAAATTATAAGAGATGCGTGCTAAGTCGCAAATCTAGAACGAGGTTTTTGGTAGATAAAACTTTGAGTTCTTTGAAAGGACTTGATTTGATCAGGCATATCAGAGATTGTGAATATACCTGTAAATTCCCATTCCCTATTTACAAAGGGTTTTCGGTTATTGAGCATACCACCGTTCATCCCATAACGGTGCATGAAGGGACTGCAATCCAAAGAAACAACAATTCTATGAAGCTCGGGGGCAATTTTTATACAAAAATGGGATTGTTTATGAGTTCCCAGTGTTTGGGGTTATACTAAAGGCCTTGAAAAAGCAAAAGAACTTTTATCATTTCTTGAACCTCTTTTTCTATGATCTCCCAGGATGTAAGAGTAGAATCTCTGCTGTTTGTCTATTTAATAGAATATCTTGTGTTAAATGGCAGATAATACTTTTGAGTATCAGTTGGGCCCTGGCCCTCTTCTGTCTGTTATCATTAGTTATCATTGCTCCCTCACAGTGCTGGGATCTGGGGTTCAGTTCTGGACCTGAGGTGCTGTCTGTGTGGAGTGTGT